GTTCATAATTACAAAACTACTGAGTGATAGTCTTCCTCCTTTTAATGGAGAAATAGAACACGTCTTAGAAACTCTTCTCCTTCGCTATAAACTTTGAAAGATACCTTAGTATAAAACATGGCTGAGTTCATGATGGATGCCCTATGTCCTTCACTGACATTCACTTTAGTATATATTACGATTGAGATTTTTGATTATTGATACAAATAGAATCATGTTTCATATATTAAATTAATTCTAAGCCTGTATTCAGTTTGATTTCATCTATCATAATGTGAACATGTGTGTGAAATAGGTGGAAAATGAATCGAGTACAATACTTTTGTTTTCTTACTTCAGAATAAACATTTTTGTGCTATTGTTTTTCATGATTTGAAGGTTTTTAAATTTAATTTATCGGACCACATAGACAAAGCTTCCGACAGTGTGTGGTGATGTTGTAGCGTTTATCAGAGTTCTGAAAATGTCTTGTAGCGAAAAATAGTGTCCTATATATCTCAATACTCGTATGAAGTGATCCCACACTATGAAGCCAGATCATCAACATTTTTTTTTTGAAATTAACAGTAGTATTATCGACTGACGTTCAAGTAATGTATAATTTTCCGTATTAACAATGCAGTGGCTAGTTAAATACTTCCGTGATGAGTTTATATGAAAGTATGTCTAACAAAAAGAAAGTATGACTCTTACTCAACTCATCACATTTGTAAAATAGATGAAAAAGTAATCATTCGAAAAAAATAGTTTCATTTGAAGAGAAATAATTAAGAAGAAAGGCATATTCGTGTCGTCCATTTCATTCTAGTATTAAATATATGAAAGAGTATAATCTGTTGTTTCAACGTCTTAAAGTTCACTTTTGCTAGGTTCATCTTTTAACATTATTGATGACTCAATTAACTCTAAAGTTGACAGAGTAGATGAGAAAGAAAATATGTTAATGACATCTTGATCACATAATAAATTGTTTATCAAGATTAATTCTTTCATTCGAGTTAGTGAAGGAGTGAAAATGTCGCCGTTTCTTATAGATTACAATTGTATGAATAGTGCTCTATTTATAATCATTCACATTACAAGTATTTGGATGAAAGACAAGGTGCTATAAAAAAAAACAGTGGTGATCTCACTGACGATATTTCTCAATGTTAAATGGGGATAAAAAATGAGTAAGAAGTAGAATAATGTTAAATAAGGCATCATGAATGTATATATGTATTGTACATTAGACTGGTCATGAACATATATAAGCACTAATACTAAATGACTTGTCGATCGACAACTGTTAATGTATCTCATAGTTTTATTTAAATAGAAAGCCATTCTGGTTTGTTTCCGCGTTTCTAGATAATTTCGTTCGCCAGTCACAAATTTGTCTCACTCAACTTCTATTAATTAAAGATTAACTGTACGACAAAAAAGAAGAAAATGGAATAAATAACAGCCAGAATTTATCCATGTGCTTATTTCATTTTATATAATATCATGATTTTCAGGCAGTAAAATTAAAGCAGCATTTCGAGTCTGATATGTAATTCACACGAGACTGCTTTCATATTTCTGGAAAGTAAACATTGTGCGCAACAAGATTTTGAATACGAATAAACATAAATATTATAACATTCTTTTTTTACTTCGTGAAGATTAAGTGGATATATTACTCTTCAAAATAAAATATCGTAGCTATCAGTAGGTTTTAATAACACAGCGGTTTGTAAGAAACATTGTTTTTATATGAATATTATACTCAAATAAAAAAAGACTACATTTTATCTGCAATGCCATTTTGAAATCAACTTTAATCATACATGAGTGCTGATTTTGAATATCTGTAAGCATACGTTGTTCGGCTACATGTTTTAGCTAAATAGAATACTGAATAGAGATGACGATTTCAGTTTAAAAGTACTTAAAATTTAATATTTATGTTAACCTATTAATTGAAACTTTCATCGTTACAGTGAGAGTATGCTATGGTAACGTTTTATCTTTCAAAAATAAACCAAAATTAAAATATGTATTCTAATGAAGTCGTCAGTCATTAGTCTTCTCTTTCCATCATAAAGAAACGAAATAACAATCACATACCGGTGAACTTTAATATGCTTCATCTACAGGTATTCTGAGAAAAGATTTTCCATCACAGATCAATCACAATATGGATTCGATGTAAAATTTGTTTATTGCACTTGTTATTCAAGAACAGTTGATTTTC